CAGGCTGCTGCTCACCTCGGGCTGATGCACCTCTGCCCAGAGGGAAGAGGCGTAGTTGGGTCCATCCCTCTCACGGTTCTCCCCCTCTTTTTTTTCCTCCTCCTCCTCCTCTTTCTTTTTCTAGCATTCATTTTGTTGTTTTCCTTTTCCTCCTCCCTCTCTTTGAAGATTCCCCCTCCCCCCCCGCGTGAAGCAGTGATCTCCCATTTACAAATAAAACATTTTAAGAATAGGAGGCCGTCCCTCTGAGGTGGGGGGCGTCGGTGCTGCTCTGGCCTGGCATGCAGCCCTGGGGACGCCTGGGATGCAGCCATACACAGCAGCTGGTGCTGAGGCCGCCCTCCCGTCCCGCTGGGCTGCTGAATTTGGGGTGGTGGCCGTTGGGCTCCGTGTGGGCTGGCAGACCTTCAGTGAAGATCACGGACGGCTGAGCCTTCAGGTCTGCTGCATCCTTGGATGCCGTCATCCCAGAGAGCCCTGGTCAGATGGCCAGGACGTTTGGAGAGTAATTTGGGAACGAAATCGGTGGGGTTTCCCAGGGCTCCCCCCCGAATCCTTGCCTCATGAGAATCTCACTCTGACGTTGCTCACGACCGTGGGAAGCCCTTCAAGCTGTGGTTCTGGGAATAATGTCGAGTGAAGCAGCTGGGAAGGAGGCAGAGCAGGTCTGGTCTCCGTGTGCTCTGTGCGCTTCGTGGGGCTGAGCTGCCAGCACTGCCCCTCGGGATGGATTCGGTGTCTCTGCACCAGCGAGGCTGACAAGCGGGGAAGCGCAAAAGCTGAGTCGGTGGAAGGAAAATTTGGCGCTTTCTGCAGCAGTGGGGAAAGCGAGGAGGACGGAGGCTTGGCTTTCAGCAGGGCTCCTCACAGGAAGGTGTGAGAGCCTGCTGTGGGAGCAGGGAGAGAGGAGGTGGGTTTCTGTGCGCGAGACTTGAAATGGTTCGGATGCACAGGAAGCGTTTTGTGGCCTTTGGGTTCCTGCAGAAGTTGTGGCACTGTGGGAGAACCGGGGCTGTGGATGGGGATCCTGCTTTTCACAGGCAGGCTTTGTTGGAGGGAGAGACTTGTTGGGAAACCGCCTTGCCCTGCTGTTGCTCTGTGGAGGAGAAAGGAGAAAATTCTCAGCTTTGGTTTTACTCTTTGCTGTTTTATTTTTATTGTAGCTTCCTAGGGCTAAAATCGACCTTTAGCTTCAATCTCTGCTCACCCTTCTGGGCCAGAGAGAAAAAACGCTGCCATGCTTTGCTTTAATCATCGTGGGGTGGTTTGAGAAGTGCCTGTGAGGTGCATAGAAACCCAGAGCCTGGCTGGGGAAATTGCCAAGCCCATCTACAAGCTCTCTTTCCCCTCTGTGATGTTGCCTTTGGCACGTGAATAACCGCTGAAGGATCCCTGAGGCAAACCGGAAGGGCCGTGCGCTCGTCTCAGCTGTGCTGTAATCGCGTTTTATCAGGGGCTGCAGCAGAAATTACATCTGTGCTGTCCTCTCTGCCCTGTGTTCTCGCTCTGCAGGAGATCTGGGGCTCTTTGTGCCGCGATGATTTGCAGCGCTGCTCCCGGTGGCGTCGCTTCTTTCTGAGAAAGTTGCCTGGGTGGCCCCCAGCCTGGAGCTGCTGGTGAGACGGCAGGAGGAGCTCAGCACCAACAGCCTCTGCACCGACAGAGGTGATCGCAGTGTGGTCGAGTGGAGCCCTGGCGCTGTTTGGCTCCGATTCCTCCACCTGTGCTAAGAGCAAAGCGAGGGTGGCTTCACAGCTGCTGCTTTAAGGAGCTGAGCTGAAGCGGGAGGAGGAAATGGCCGAGGTGTAACTCAGCAGTGAGTTGGGGCTGGTTAAGAGGGCAGAAGCTGCGAGGGGCTCCGCTGGGTGCTTTGAGCAGCTGGGCTGGAGGTGGTTTTTTCTTCAGAGATTCCTGAGGAGTGCGATTTGCCTCGGGCCCAGTGTTTGTGCTCATCTTCCCCTGCGCGTGGCTCAAGTTTGTCTTCCTCTGCTCTCGTGCCTGCGTTGGTGTGCATCCAGATGAGCAGTGATGCTGCTGTAGGCACGGAGAAGGTGGGAGGAGAGCTGGAATCCCTTGTTGCAGGTGCTGGGAGCGGGGCAAGGCTTCTTAACGCTGCAGGGAGCGCCTCTGAAGCAAACATCTCGGAGCAGGAGCGGTGCTGTGGGTTTTAATTTGCGGTGGGAGAGGGGAGAAAACTGGTATTTCTGGGAGAAAATGCCGTATTTTCAACCAGCTGGCAGCTCTCAGGGTCACCGAATGGATGCGTGATGCAGGGAGGTCCCAGCACCGAGCTGGGGAGCAGACAAGAGTTGGATGCCGAGCTCTGAGTGGACAAAGCCAAGCAGCCGCAAGCGAAACCCGCAGCAGCTCCAGCAATGAAAAGAAGAGCTTTCCTGGAGTGGAAACCGTGGTGCCAGGGAGCGGCAAAGCGCCACCCATGGATTGGGCCTCATCCACGCCTCGGTGCTGCAGCCGGGTCACCTTGCAGCCGAGGAGCTGCTCCTCTCCAAGGCAGGGCGCTGCTGGCTCCGTAGGAGCTCCTGTGCAGGATGTTGCATCCTCCCATTCGGTGCCATTTGCAGCTCAGCCTCAGGTTTAATTTCACAGCCACCTCAGCCTGCCTCTCTGGTTAAGCTGATGTGATGCGTGCGTGTGCGCAGGGACTTCTATTTTAGTGCTGATCCTGGCAAAGAAAGAATTAAATAGATGCCTTCTCCCTCCAGGATAGGAAGCGCCCGCGGTCTGGGCTGGGTGGGAAGGGATGGATGGGACCAGAGCCCCCTCCCCACTGTCTGCATGTTGGGGATTTGAGGGGGCCTGCCTGCGATGAGTGGAAGATGCAGCTCTGCAGCTCGCCTTGGCCGCACTCGAGCTCCTTCAGTTGGGTTACAGATCCACAAAGCGTCGTTTGGGGGTTATTTCCAATGGCAGCTCGGTTCTTTCCCAGCTCCATCCTTCCCTATGCTGGTCCCACTGCGTGCCAGCCCCAGTTCCGTGCCTGCAACCCTTGCTCTGCGATCTGAGAGTCTGTGCTGCTCCAGTGCCGGTCTGGGGACTCTCCAACCCTCGCTGTGCCCCTGGCAGACTTCAGCCTCGTGTACGTCCGCATCATCCCTCATCCTCTGCTTGAAGGAGGTCGGGGTCCTGTGGGGCTCTGCTGATGGCTCTGGGGCTGAGCTCCTGGAGCTGAGGCTGGCTCAGCTCATGGCACGTGGGAAAGCGTTGCTCTGTGTGCCCCCCACCTCACCAAAAAGCCACCGGGGGGCTCTGCGCCACATCCTGATGGAGGGCCGAGCCTGACCAGTCCAGGCGGAGAAAATCTGATCTGAAGCAATCGAAATTCACCCCTGAGGAGGATGTGACTCAGATCTGCCTGGCTGTGCTTCCATCTGCCCTCGGCGGTGGCGAGAGCAGGGGGAGAAGCTGCCAAAGCGGTTCCGAACGCCGTGAAACCCTTTTGCTCCGCGTCGAACCCCATCGCGGGGCCGGGACCCACCGCTCACAGCCCGCAGAACCATCTCGGCACCGGAGCCCCGACCCCGGGAGGAGCTCCAGGCACCCGGCGGAGCGTTGCATCCCCTCGGCTGTGCTATAACCGAAGGACCTGAGGGGGGCCCCCCCCCGCGGACACCCGTTCCCCCCCCCCCCCCCCCCTCCCCGCTGTAGCACAGCCCTCCCCATCGCCTCCCTTCTCAGGCTGTCGCAATGGACTCTCCCAGCGCTCGGTGCGTGTGGCGGAGGCTGCAGCGCTGACGCCGGGCTGGTACCCGCGGGCTGCTCCTGCTGGATCCCCACGAGCATCCTTCCTCCTCGGAGCATCCTTCCTCCTCGCAGCCGGTGCTGGAGCAGACCACGCGCTGACACAGGTAAGGAGAGGAGGATGCCTCTATAAAGCATCTCCCCCCCCCCACCCTCCCCCTCCCATCTGCTTTTAATTAGCATCCTCGGGGTCGCTGGCTGACGGGGAGTTCTCCTTCTCCTTCCCATCGCTGTGGCCATTTTGTCCTGAAAATCCTTGCCTCCACTTCGCTCTGCTTTTCTCTGTGTGGTCGGGAGCCCCTCGTTGCCGCTCAGCGCTGCGCAGCGCAGGGGTTGCGTTATGGGGATGGAAAACCATCCCAGCGGGTTTTGGGGAGGGGGAGTGCCACAGCTCCCCGGGGAGGGGGGTGGGGGTGACCTTGGGCTCTGGGGAGCGCCAGCTCTTCCCCATGTCGCCATGTTTCTGCAGAAGGGCTGCAGGGGGACCCTAATATGGGAACCCCCAGGGGAGGTTGGAGCGTGCAGCGACGCGGGGCCGCACCGATCGGGTGCTCAGAGAGAGGAAAGGGGTCTGGATCCCATAACCTTGTGCAGGGCTGGTGGTGGCGGCCGGGGCTGACATCAGGGATGGGGTGCTTGAGCCTTTATGCAGCCAGGAGAGCATTTGTGGGAAACCCCCACCTCCACACCCCATCTTGCAAGGCTGCGATCTGTGCCGTTTCTGCCTTCCTCAGGAAAGCAGAACCGTCATCCTAAAAGGATCTGTGTGGCCCTCGGCCGCGACCTGCAGGTGCTTGGACCCCTCCCTCCCCCCCACCCCGATGCCCCCCACTCCCTTTGCCGGATCCCTGTTGCCAAAATGCGTCACAGCCCCGTGGAAGCGGCCCCGCACCAGATGACCTTGGTGGTGGTGAAGGCCGCAGACCGGCTCCTTCCAGGGCTGCTGGGATTCCACCCGAGGAGGGCAGCGGGTGATGAGGATTTGATGCCCAGGGATGGAAG